CTCATCCCATCTACCCTTTCCTAGCCTTCAAAGACCAGTTCCCAGCTCTGAATTTGTGATTTTTACAAGTGGCTCGATGTTTTAAGAGGTAACTGGCTACAATCTTGGTTTTTCATTTGTTCCAGGAATATCAGTATTAACTCCAGACCTAGGTTAACATTCTTTACTTCACAAAGAGGTTATTCTCTTGTCAAGCATAACACAGGAACCCCTTGGTAACTGAATTTTGTATGCTCAGCTACACTGTGCTATTTCAGTTATAAGGAAACCAAACGATAAAGAAACAGCTCTCTGTCAAGGAAATATGTACATGTGCATTCTACAACTCCCCATTTTACTTCATTAAGCGAAAGAACCTACAGTCCTGTGCTGGCCCTCTCAAGCCATCTCATCTCATCTAGGAGCACTCTGCTTCACACCAGGGTCATAGTCCAGCAGACGGTTCCGGCGGCAGACCAGCTCCTTCTGTTACGGTGGGGACAGACGGCGCTTGTAGGACGTGGGGCATAGAGAGATCAATAGGACCCGATAAAGAGGCCCCTGAAAACAACACTCCCTCTGCCCCAACACGAATGTTAACTCCACACTCATTTTGGGAAATTGATAAAAGAGTTAAAGAGAACCTTCTTTCTCATGACTGCATTAATGACGTTTACATGGAAATAAAGACCGCCTTTCACGCATTTTAAAGTTAAGTACCAGTGGCCACACACGTGCATAAGGCTTTTCACTCAGGTCTCGGCATCATGAGACAGGAGCAAGCCTGCGTCAGAAGAGCCCGTCACTGGTCAGGGCTGGGACATTCCACTGCCCCACAGCGCTGCACTCCATGTCTGAGACGGGAACTGGTCACCGAGAGGCGGTGACAACAGTGACATGGCCATCCTCTGCACTCACTCCCGCACAACAGCAATGCTGGGCTCGAGGGCACACAGCGCTGGAGCGGGCCGGGCCGTACCTTCACGGCGAGGGCACACAGCGCTGGGGCGGGACCGTACCTTCATGGCGAGGGCAATCAGGGCTCCCTCTGTCGGCTTCCCCATCAGAGTGTCGTTTCTAATGACGGCGTCGTTGCACACGCAGCCCGCCTGAGGAAACACACAAGCGATGGAGCGCCACCGTGCCGCGGGGAGGGAAGAGACGAGCACCTTCGTGAGTCATTTACCTCCACGATTCTGCTGACGGCCGGGTTGTAGAAACCGTGGACGACGTCGCCATCGACGAGCACTTCCCCAAACTGATTGTAGCCGACACCAGTAACCTGAGGGACACAAAGC